CATCAAAACAACAAGAACAGCGAAACAACACATGAAAACTTTGTGAAATTGAGTAAGGAGATGTGATTCTTCTCTTTAATGAATAAGGAACCGATTAAGGCTTGAAAAACAACAAGAATCACGCTCAAATCACAGCCAAAATAATGTAAAAACTGAAAACAATGAAGAAAAATAAAGTTGGAAACAACATTATGAGCAAATTATGATCATGTGATGAATTGAAGTAGAAATTCGTGTAAAACAAATATAAAATGAAATTAAACTGAAAAAACAAATAAATTAAAGCAAGAAGAACACTAAGCAAAACAGGAAAAAGTGGAAATTAAAGAGACAAAAAGAAAACTAAACTGAAAACTAGAGAGAGCAAGAGAAACAACCAGAATTGAGAGAACTTAAACTAGCTTCACATCAAATGAAGAATAGAATTCGGTGTGTGTTATAATGACACTAAAATGCCTTATTTATAGGTTCAAATATGAGTTAACTAAAGTTAAAACTAACTAAACCATCATTAAACCTAATTACAAGCGTGTCCTAAATCTAACTAGAGTTAATTTCCGTATCACTTCCGCAATAGGATCTTCAATTTCGTGTTACCATCTTCTCTGATTTATTAAAAATAGCTTCGAGATCCAAAAAAGTCAAATTTGTGTTAAATTTAATCTTAAGATGTCTAGTTTCCAACGCAAAAAGAATAAGTTCAATCAGAGTTCTGTAGAAAAATATATAAATCAAAGAAGAGGCAAAAGTCAAAATTGGTCATTGAAGAAATCATAAGTAATATAGAAAGCTATGTTAAAATAAAGAAATTAGTATATTTTTGTGATTTTGCATATTTTTTTCTAAAAATACAAATCTAATATAATATAATAGAATAAGAACCTAAAAGAATCTAATTCTACTTTATTAACTAGGAAAAATTCTAACAAATGAGTTGTCATCACCTTCCAATTCAAAACCACCCACATCCAGACTTTAAGGGAAGTAAAGAGCTTGAAACCATTACAAAAATCAAGTTCTACAGGAAATCAACAATGCCAGAAAAAAGAGAAGGACTAAAGTTTTTGAAAAAAAATCATTTTGTTGTGTGTATCAAAGCAATAAAGAAGCTTAAAAGGCACTCCAACACAAAAGTGATAATTGTTTTCAAAGATACAACTGGCATAAAGCTACAAGGTACATTGATCCATATTTTTTACTTTTCCTAAAGTCTTAGCCCACTTTCCTACTTTAACCTACCCTTAACCCTAGTCCCATTACAAAAGAAAAAGTCATATTGATGTGTTGAGGTATGTGTTCTAATCATGGGAATTTAAAGATCTTTCAAGCTTATAGTAAAGAACGATGTCATGATGTAATGATGAGTGAAATTTTTATCCTAAACACTTGAGAGAGTAGAATAAACACTTGACCATGAGAGGATGTTCCCTTGAATTGATTCATACTCGGTCGTGATAATACTTTGTGAGTTATGATCTTGATCTTTTTTATTCTCTCATTTTTGTTTATTGAAGTTTTTTTTTTACCATTGTAATTTTCAAGATGTGACTAATGTTTGCAGCAATATTCATCTTTGCATCACATGCATGCATTCTTTTCTTTTCTTTTCTTTCTTTTATCTTTTGCTTGGAATTGCAAAAGAGCAAAAGTGGGGAGTATTTGATGTATGTCATTTTACTATTTATTTCTTGATCTAAAAACATTTTCTAAGCTAATTATTCTCTTCATAAACCATGCATTTAACATGTTTTTATAAAAAATAAAGCATATTTTAATTTTACTTAATTTGTTACATTTTGCATAATTTTAGCATTAAAACATACATTTATACATCCACAATGCATATTTCTCTTTTTTAAAATTTTTTTTTAAGGAGAAAGATAATGTGAGATAGGCCAAATTGATTGAAATAAAGGCCCAAATTCATAACAAGCATCATACGCAACCGAACTTCACTCCTCTTAGAAGCCTAAGTTTGCTTGTGCAGCGCACTTACAGAACATTACAAATGAAAAGTTTAAATCAATCAAATTAACTATAGCAGGAATCTAATTGGGCTAAATTAAAGGATGCGAAAGTCAAGAATTAAATGTAAATTAGCGTTGGATCAACTCAAATCAGGAAAGAATTCTAATTGCTCCAATCAATTCCAGAAATTTTTTTACAGCGTAATAATCCAGTGCTGCAATTTTTAATTAAGAAAATATTTTATTGTATTGTAATTAATTATAGACTTAGTTCCTTTGGTCAGTCCCCTATAAATAAAGGTATGATGAAAGCATAAAATCACATTCTTCACCACATTGGTACATCCCTCAAGCACATTAGTAGTCGTTCCATGTACCATCATTCATCATAACAAGACACACTTACCTGACCAAGGAAGACTTTCAATACAAAAACCATTCTTAAATTCCCAATCAATCGTCAGCTTTGATACCACTTGTTAGGTCTTTTGAGAGGGGATTTATTGGGGAGAAATACAACAACAATGAGACATGAGAGTGATGTCAATCCTTTATGTAGGTTGGGCTCATATCTCATTATTATTTTGTTTCTTCCCAGTAAAAACCCCCTCGAAAGACCCAACAAGTGGTATCAGAGAAGAAGGTTGATTGACAATTTAAGAGTGATCTTTGTATTAAAAGTCTTCCTGACAGTGAGTCAGGTAAGTCTGTCCCATTATGATGAACGACGTGGAAGGACTACTAGTGTGCTTGAGAGAATGTACTAATGTGACACTTGACGAGGAGATTGTAAGAAAATTCAAGTGTGTGTCTGAGTCTCACATTAAGTAAAGATGAGAAAGTTGAGCAATATATAAGGAAGTAAAACCCATAACCCAATGTCTTAAGATTTTTTGTTAAGAATGGTGTTAATCCCTTATGTAGGTTGAACTCATGTCTCAGTAGTGTAATTTCTCTCCTGTGAATGCCCCTCGAAAGACCCAATAGTGGTATTAGAGTCGAAGGTTGATTGACAATTTGTTATGATGAACGGCGGTACATGGAAGGACTTCCAAGTATGAGTCTGAGTCCCACATTGAGTAAGAATTAAAAAGTTGAGCAATATATAAAAAAGAAAAACTCACAACCCAATGCCTTAAAGTTTTAGGTTGAGAGTGATGTCAATCCTTTATGTGAGTTAAACTCATGTCTTATTAGCATTTTTTCTCTTCAACGAATTTCCCTCGAAAGACTTAACCTTATCTTGTGATAAATATTCACTCATCTTAAAATTCATTTCATTTTGCTCCAAATAATATTCAAGATGAAAAACTTCAAAATAATTTGTTCCATCTCATGTCTTCACAAAAGTCCTTCCAACTTCACATACTCCATTCTAAGCTCATATATACCATCTTGAGCGTGAGGAAAAGTATTGCATAATTAAAGATAATATTATAATTAGTTTCAATAAGAACTAATAGCTAGGAAAGATACTTGTTTAATCTTTAAAAATTCATATTAATATTGTTTTAAAATTGTGTAATTGATAATATTTCATTTTTATATATTTATCTTATATCTAATTGTTGATACATGTTATTTCACATTATCCCTCAATTTTTTACCATCAAAAGGTTTTTTAATCCCAATACTTCTTTAGAATATAAACTATTTACCAATGTGATAGCAATGAAGCATAAATCAATCTAACAATAAGAAAAAATCATTCATAATAAACCACTTATTAATATAATTCATCGTATCATATTAATATATATATATATATATATATATATATATATATATATAATTTGTTGGAACTTAATAAATTTTTATTTTTATTTCTTTTCTATTACTACACTCATCCTGACTTTTATATATATATATATATATATATATACTAAATGAGAGTAGTGGATGAAACAACATAATTTTACATGAGAGGTACATCACTGTCACGTGAAAGTTAGAAGTATATAAATTTATTGCTACAAAAGTTTATTGTAATATTTTATATATAAAAAAAACTTTGAATATTATTTTAATCGAATTGCAATTGTATTTTAATTAATATTTTTCATAAATAATTAAAGTGTGATTAAAAGAGAAAAACGTGACCATCTAAATATCAGGTAAGAATATGTGTCTTAAAATTACTATCCATGGTTATACGCAAATAATATTTAAAAAACGTAAATATATTGTAATCGTGGTTGTAGATGCAAGAAAGTTTGTGAAAGATTTGTAAAGATAAAATAGGTGAAAAGGTGCTCCCATAAAGGTTAGAGATTTTAGAAGACATAAGTGAGTTGTGAAAGAGAGTTGCCAATGAAGCATGTCAACATGTAGCAGACAGAGAACTCGGGGCTCCACTTGGTTTCCATTTTAATCACTAATCTAAAGTGAAATGCCCTCAAAGGTGACAAGATTGTGGGCTCAGTATCTTGATATGGCAAGCATATAGTTGAGCACACATCGATGTGAGGTCCCCATAATCCTAATTCAAGTCTATCCCCAACTTGATCACACATGACACACCCAGAAATTTATGGGTGGCATCATGAGGCCTGCATGTGTTTGCCATGGAAAAAGCAGGTCACTTGCAAAAATCAGTTGCCTGTAGAGAGATTGTGAAGAAGACAAAGAGATAGAGGAGGAGGTTTCAACCAGAGAAGAAGAAGAATCCTCAGATTTGACATCATATCAGTATCAGATAGAAAAGTGGGGGAGTGATAGTGTTTGGAGTGTAACCCATTTTAGTAATGCACCTCCAACCCACAGTCACTTTCGTCAATCTTTGGTTTTGGTACAATATATCCCACGATAGACATAAGGCACGTGCCCACCACTACTTCTTTTTTTTATTATTATTTGGATTGGTCAATTCACCACTACTTAGTTTAACCCTTCATTGTTCTCTCTTTTTTAGTTTTTCCCCAACATGGTTTTTCTACCTCTTGTCATTTCTCTCCTCTTCCCCTACTCCTTTCGAACTTGTTTACCTGTTGCGTGAGCAGGAAACATACAGGCGGTAGAGTGACCCATCTTTGTCTATTGTTGGGTTCTCTCACCAGCTGGTCCAGCAATATTAGCTGGTCCAGCAGTATTAGGCCCCTTGTAATAAGGTGGTACACCAAGATCTGTGTGTGTGAATAGGGAATACAGACACAAGGAAAAATAAAGGTCTGCATGTGAAACAAAACTTGTCTTCAAAAGTAATTTAGACCACTGCTCCAGCAAGACCACCTCGTTGATTATGAGCCCAATAAAGTCTTTCAACGAGGAAATCCTTTTCTCGTCCAAAGCATCCACTGATCTGTATAAAGTGGTTTTCTTGGATGAATAATATTTTTTTCTTAAACGATGAGAAACTCTGGAAGGCATGGCACTCCAATTTGTTTATCTATCAAGAGGCTTTGTGTACGATGGAACGGCTCAAGTGTCTCATGTAGATCGAACAAAGTAAAAGTGGACATCACCACCTATATGCCACAGTTCCACTGTTCAATACATTTTTTTTAACTAAAAAATCCAAATAGATAAAATATATTTTCTATTTATTTTTCTGTTTTCATTAATAATTATATTAAATAACTTATTTTTATTATCATTAAATTATCAAAATCATTTTTTAATTCTGTCACTGTTTTTTCGTGGACATTTAAATCATCCTCTTCTAAGTAAAATAATTTTAAAAAAATTATCAAACAAATTTCCTTTTCAACTTATTTTCGCAATATTTTTTAAAACTGATTTCTATTTTTAAAAAACATACAAGGAATTTGATGAAACTCTTTGGAACAGCTAAACCATTTTTACGCTTGTGACAATCAACCATGGATGCTGATACTTCCTACAAATAGGCATCTAGTTTTGTATATGGCCCACAATTAGCACTAAAGCCTAAACAGTAAGCCCACCAATGCAACTACTGCCAACGGCCAAACTAAACAGTTTGACTTCCAATAGATTCGTAGTACATATTCCTTTTCAATCGGTATGTGTGATGCAAGGGCATAACAGAAGAATATTATAACCCAAAAATATGCATACTAAGTCCTGAAATTTCCTGATCATTCTAATGTCACGATAGTCTTCCTAATATTCTTCGCCCACTATCTGCAGATGCGTAATCAAGATACTACTCGAGCATAACCCAAGTGATAAGGACATGACGAAGAGATTTAGCACCTAAAACCAAAAGGATAAGGTAGAGATAAAGTATGGGTGATGGATCAATTTCTATTCCAGACCAAAAATGAGTGAGACTATCCAGTGTCAATAGAAAAGCAAAATTCGTAGATTATTTTCTTTCTGAAAATGGATTTGATTTAGACTATGCTTAAAGGACCCTTGCGACAGCTACAGATTGACAAGCAGGAAACCACAAAGGTCAGACTTTCAGGAGAGAACATATGAAATTAGTATTATCATTGATTTGATAATTTTAATCTAATGAAATGACATGTACAAGTGTTATTTAATTATAACATTTGCATATAAGACAAGATTTAAAAACAAACAAATAAGAATAAATGCAGCACCAACCAAAACTACCTAAGATTTATGACGCAATGCCAATCTGATTAATTAGCTTGGTTATCTTCTGGATCATTTTAAATTTTACTAAAGCCACCAAGTTTCAATATTATTATCATCAATTCCATTCAATTTGACAAACTATCAAAGTAAAAACAGGGCTTACTTCTAAACAAAGGTCAAAATTCTAGTAGTGAAAGATTAACTTTCAATACATCCCACTACAAAATTTTGAGATATGTAACTGGTTATGAACTTGGAAAATTGAACAAATGTAAATTAATTAACATAAATACCAAACCAATATATTTTGCTTTAGGACACAATAAGCTCATGCAACTAAAGCACATTTAGTCATACTCTAATTCATCAGGAGTGACTGGCCGTTTAAGAGGGATGATGGACTTCTTTTCAACATCACGAGACAAAGCCTTCCTCATATCTACAAACAACGCATCAGATGAAAATAGATAAATAGCAGCATGAGTATTGTTAAAAGAGAGCAGAAGCAAACATGAAAAACAAGAACTTAAAAGCATACCTAAACCATCTTCTTCCCCAGAATAGTAACGTAGCACCCGTCGATAAATCACATAGCCAAGCTTTGATGTCAATTAGAAAAGTAATTAGTTAGTAACTCCAATTTTAGACTCAAGAAATCCTAATGTAAGAAATAAACCCTAATCCCACATATGGCTATCCCCTAACCCAAGATATAAACAAGACATTAAATTTCTAAATATTTATATAATTAATCTATATATCTCCTATAATCACATATATCAACCACTTTAGAATGACTTATATTAGGGCTACACATGACGTGTATGATCTCAAAGAGGTGAAAAGTGAAAAACCAAGAGGCAAAACTAAACTTTCTTATATAGCTAGGATTACGTCGAAGATCAGCCTTAAACCCATACATTTTATTCTACCTTTCGATGCCAAGTACATGCAAAATATTATCCCTAATTGCTTTTTTTTTTTTTTTTTGCGGATGATATGATTTTACTTATCTAATCTAATCTTGGACATTCAAGAGATTATCCCTAATCGCATGCTTTCTGTACATGATGTAGTTTTGATTGAGAAATCAAAAGGTTTCAGTTGAAGTAGGAGTAAGGCAGTAGATGCATTACAATTTCTGCAAGTATCATATGACTTAGAAGTAAAATTGCAAGAAGTTGTCATATCACACGTTTTTATGTTTAACCCGGTGTTTGGTTACCCGTCACAGATGTAAATATCTGCCTCTCCAGAATCTTTCTTTTGTAGCTGCTACGTTTTCTATCATTGGAATGTGATTTTGTACGTCTTAAGAAGGTGAGTCCAAAACAATATAGTATAAATAGATGATATACACAACAACAAACATGATATTAAACTTATCTTCAAGATTAGATTTTTATATTTACCACTAGAAGTTCATGGAAAATAATATCTTATATGTTTTTATATTAATTGAACTGAATGATGCTGTGTGATTCATGTAGACAATCTCACTAAGTGGGATCATATTTTTGCTGTTGTTGTATATCATCCATTTATCATACATTGTGCTGCAAACATACTCAATCCCATATAGCAATGTAGAGCAGCTGGCCACCAAAACCATAATAGCAGGATTGATAGTTATATTGGTGCTTTGACAATTTAAATAATCTATTATAACACGCATAAATGTTCAAACATAAATAAATAAAAAACACCCAAAATGAAAGACATTAATTTAACAATCAGAAGTTATACAACAATAAAGATGAAATAGCAGTGGAGAAAGACCGAAGCAGAAATAACACGGGATAAAACTGGAGGTGGTAACAGAGAACAGATGAATGGCCCGGGAGAACACTCTATATATTTACTAACACAACAAAATGCAACTGTCGCAGAATATGGCTTATGATTCTGAACTCTTTTTGCTTCATCATGAAAGGGGTTAAAATCATGAGCTTACTCCCATAATACACCTTGAGTAACACTGGGTAAAAGGGCTTTACAATAACTTATTAAATTGTCAAATTTTCAAAAATTTTGAAGATTTCTCAACCCAATAATTGAACCTGACATTTGAGGTTTAAATGCTATTTTTAAGCGTTGAAATTTGGGCTTGTTATCTAATTTAATCTCATAAAATCAGCTTACAAGACAAAGATTACACAATCTTTATAGGTTTTCTTTAAATCATATCTTTATGCGATGTGAAATTAAATACACGCCCTCGAGGCTGCAATTAAGGCAGATTAAGGATGATGTAAGCAAGATAGTTCTAGCATTAGGTTTCTTACATTACTAACTATATTATTATATTAAAAGCCGCTAAGTGTTCTTTCAGCCGGGAACATGACATAACAAAAATACATGAAGCTGAGGAGCAGAAGACAGTCTAAGTTTTGCCAAGAGTTGAAACTCAAAATTACAGAGTTTGGGAAGGTTACTGGATCTATCCTTTGCCAAATTATTTGAAATAAAAGTTTATGTGCAATAATTTTATTCCCTTATTTCAATTTTTTTATTTGTTAAAAGAAAAAAAATAATATAGTGAAAGAAAAAACTAGAAAAGGAGCATCAGGAACCATCCTACTAGCACATAAAATTGTTGATATAAAAGTGTAAAGCAATAAGCTTAGAGTGTTAAGTTTGAAGATTTGATGCTCCTAACCACTATATTGATGATAATGCAAGTGATGATGTTGTGTTTGATCTTGACTTGTATATTGAATTTAAAGTGTTTTAAGTGATTTCTCTATCTCTGATTTTTTATGGTTTAAGTAGAGAATTCATTTAGAAGTATGTTGGCCAAGTTGAAAATGTTTGTGCTGTTTTAATAGATTAAAAATATTTTTAATATGTTAAAATATTCTTCATGTTGGTAGGATGGCAAGGAAGAACATTTTAATTGATTAAAATTGAGTTTTAATCAATTCATTTCACTCTGCTGAAAACCAGACCAGGTTGGCAGGTTCAATAGGTTTAACCGGGAGTTGGTTTAAAAACTCATCTATTGCTTTTAAATAAGCAGATTTTAATTAAATTGGGACAAAACCGAAAAATTTATTCAAAACCTAGAAAACTAGCTGGGGTTTTTGGTCGAACAGATTTTGAAAAAAAAAAAATTAAAGATCAAAATTTTTTTAATATAACTTTTTTATAAAAGAGATAATATATTTTAGTTTTTTTTCTTTTTATTTATCTCATATTAATTACCCAATTTTAAAAATAATTATTTTATTATATTTTAATCTTATTTTAACTATTATTCATCTTAAATTCTCTAATATATTTTATATTTGTAACCTTCGTTGTAAGGTAACTTTTATTATTTTCTTTCTTTTGTAAACAAAATGTTGTTACTAATTATTTATTATATTCTTGTTATAATTAAAATATTATATTATTTTATTAAATCAGGTTGGACTACGGTTGAACCATTAAACCTGAACCATATCTTTACCAATTCGGGTGACCAGTCATGTTTTAAAAACATTGATTCATTTCACTAAAACCTTTCAGTACTATATGTTGGCCCTATTTTAATGGATTAATAGATGTTTTAATGGATTAAAATTCTTCTAAAAGGCCCCAAACTTTGTTTTAATGGATTAAAACATATTTTAATCATTAAAACTAATGCTATTTAAGTGGGCTCTATATCAAGCTATCTTTGTTCAAACAATTTGGAAAAAGGTCTTAATCATTCCTAAAACTTGGCAGAAGTCATTCACGTTGGAAAAACACTTATTTGAGTTGTGCTACATAATCATTTATATGAAGCTATATTAGAAAGTGGATTTAAGTCTAATTCAACCTATAAATCTAGTTTGTAAGATGAGGTTTATACTCCACTTATATACTACAATTTAATTTTATCTCTCTAGTCAACGTGGGATTTTCAATAAGATCGAAGTTTGAGCTAATTACATTGCGGATCACCTTTGTATTTCTTCTTTTCACCTTGTGCCAAATCCTGTCTAGGTAATCTTGTTCCTTATTCTTTGTACCTTGGGCTTATATGTTCTTAACTGGGATGGTCAAGGTATTGTTTGTGATAGGGTGTCACAAGGGGTGGTAAAAGATTGTGTAGGGTTCAAGATCTTGGTGTGGTTGTTTTGGCTTGAGTTCTCGAGGGTATTCCTTGTGATAGGATTTCACATGTGGTGGTAGGAGATTTTGCAGGATTCAAGATCTTATGTGTACTGTATTTTCTTGAGGGGTTTTTGTAAACCTGAAAATATATTGGATCCGCTTAATTGAGGTGATTAAAACCTAGATGCAGCACGATTCGGACGGTGAATCAATATAAATTCTTGTACTTTCTTCTTTCCTTATCTCCTACAAGTTATATCTAAATTTAATTTGATTGTATGTGCTTAGAAAGTTAAAGAACATTAATATTGGCACTTCTTTGTTTTCTCTTTTATGCTATCTTGATTCAAAGAAAATAATTTATCTACTTGTGAAAATCTTTAAAGTTCAATTCATTCCCCTTTGAACTAAATCCTTATTTCTAGGGAGGATGAGTAAACAAGGAGTGGAAAAGTAACAGCTTGAGAAATCTCCCCATCTTTCTGTATATCTAAGAAACAACTTTAAAACAATGAGTAAACCCGTAAGAAAGAAAGGGAAGGTCTAAGTTGTGAAATGAATTTACAGAACCATTACCTTATCATACATCTTGATGGCTGGTGCATTTGACGCTCTCACAAAGAGATCAACAAAGTAAGCCTTGTCACTGCAAAATTCGCGTTCTTATTTAATACAAGGTAAGGCATCCACAAAAACACAAATATATTAAGTTACCCGAACTGGTAACCCGTTTAGGAGTCTTATTACAACAGAGTAATCCCCCCACACACCCAAAAAACACCACATATTTAATCGTTGCTCCATTTCGTCTTTCATAAAATATACAAATAAAAATAACTTATCAGTCCAGCAAAAAATATTTATGAAATGAGCAAAAGGAAGGTCATACTGATAGAGAAAGACTTCAGGATTTGAACTAAGAAACTTGCAATTTTAGCACTATATATAAATATAATCCTTCATAATATATGCAAATAATAGTCTAGTCAAAACTATTGATGTAATGGGCAAAAGAAAAGTCATATCTGAATTCATTACACATTATATTTCCAGGAAAAATAAATACAAGTGCAATTTTCTTAGGACACGAATGTAAAAAATACATGGAGCTAAGCTTTAAATGCAGTTATTTCCAATAGATTTGTTGCAGTTCCAACAATCCCTCGAGTTGGAGCATACAAGTTGAACGCCATTTGCTTGGAACAAAAATATTGAATTTGAGGTCCCCTTAAAGATTTTGTGAAGATGTATGCAAGTTGATCCTTTGAAATAATAGGTTCAATAATTATTTCTTCAGACAGAACTTTTTCTTGAACAAAAAGATGATCAATTTATACATTTTGGCTTTAATGAAACATTGGAAGCTATATGAAGAAAAGAACTGCTTGATTATTTCATGTTGCTTTCTCTGCTAGATGTCACCAAACATCAATCGTTGAAGGAGTTGTTTAATCCAAAAAAGTTCATAGATGGTTGTAGATTGCATATATTGATTAACTACTCCAAATGCAAAATAAATGTGAGGTGTAGTAATTTTGAAATAGATGAGCTTTTCAACCAATAGATGAGATCTCTCAAGATCCAAATAAGGCTATCCTTGACTGGGCAATAATTGATGATTTGGATCCATAAGACTATCAATGGGTCAATAATCTAAGTCACCCTACTTTAAGTATGTCTAATGCTTAATTACATCTTTTTGCAAAACAATGATTCCATCCCTTGATTGAGTCCCTTCAATACCAAAAAATTATTTTCAAAATTCCTAAGATCTCTGATCGAAGCGGTTGAACAAGTGCTTTTTCAGCTAAGATTTGTATATAATCAGAACATGTGATGACTACGTCATCAACATTGTTTGGTAAACACACTTGAAAGTTGAGGAGAAAATCAGTGGGTTCAAGTTAGTCCACTGATGCACATATTTTATATATATTTGATACTGAAATCGGATAAAACAGTGAATAGGGTACAGCCTAGACCTCTCTAGATACAGAAAGAAAAGTTGCACAAAAGCTGTCACAACCTTTAATAAACAACTATCTTCAAACTACCCTTCAAATCACAGTATATATATTGTATGTACCAAGTTTAGAATATATAAATTGAATTTGAGGTCATCTCAAGGATTTAGTTAAAATATCTACAAGTTAACAACTAAATTTAATGAATTCCACACAAATCTTCTTAGACAACAGCTTCTCTCGAACAAAATGATAGTCGATATCTATATGTTTACTTATTTCTAAAACAGTAGATTGAAGGCAATATGAAGGGTTTTTCATAATCACAATACACCTTCATTTGTTGAGTTTCGCAAAATTGTAACTCTTGAAGGAGTTGTTTAATCAACACAAGCTCACAAATAACTAAGGTGATAACTTTATATTCAGCTTTTGCACATACGAAGCTGTAACATTATTTCATGCTCTTCCAAAAAATCATACTTCTACCAATGGCAATATCTACAAGACTTCTTGCCCAACCAACATCACAATATCCAATAGCAAAGCATCCATCTACAAGACTTCTTGCCCAATCTACATGACAATATCTAAAGATTTGGTAGTCTCCCTTCTCCTCATACAATAATCCTCGTTCAAGAGCCATGTTGATATATTCAAGAATGCATATGGCAACATTCCAACATCAATGGAGGATTCTTCATAAATTGACTAACTCCGAGATCGTGAAGTAAATGTGTTTCTCCACTGATCTTCTATATCCCTCATGATCTGCGAATGGCTTGCCTTGATCATAAACTTTTAATTCAAATCCATAGGACTATTGATAGGTCTAGACTCAGTCATGTCTGATTCCTTCAAAATATCCAAAGCATATTTTCTTTGTAATATCACAATACTTTTCTTTGATTGAGTCACTTCTATACCAACAAGTATTTCAGGCAACCAATATCTTTGGTTTGAATGTGACTAAATAAGTGCCCTTTCAACCGAGAAATTCTAACAACATCATTCCCTATAATTACTAAGTTATCCACATTGACAACTAGATAAACACATTTCCTAGGGGAAGTGTGGAAATAAAACATTGATTGGTGTATGACAATAGATAATAAAACATCATTTCCTTGGTACACAGCCTAGACTATCTAGTACAACAACAAACAACTTTATAAAAGTTTTCACAATAGATCAATATTTTGAAAATTGAATTGAACTAGCCGGTTCAACCAATATTAGCCAGGAAACCAGTTTATTGCTTGTAAAAAAACGGATTTTAATTAAATCAGCATAAAACCAGAAAAACCAGTACAAAACCGATAAAACCAGGAAAACTGATTGGATTTTTGGGACGAACCAGTTTTTATAAAAAAAATTAAGGATCATCTTTTTAATATTTTAAAAGACATTTTCTTTATAAAGGATATAATATTATTCATTTTTTATTTTCTTCCTTCATTTCATACAAGTCATGTCAACTTTAAATAATAGTTATTTTGTTACATTAACCTTATTTTCACAATTATCAATCTCTCACTCTCTACGGCATTTTGTATTTGTAACTTACATTACAGCAACCATCATAGCAAAATTTCACCACTATTGTAATTATATTATTATAAATGAATTTATTATATATTTATTATATTATTATATTATAAAAGGTACTATTTTACTAAACCTGGTTGAATCCCGAACACATGCATTCATCAATTCAGTAACCAGTCGGATTTTAAAAACATTACAATAGATAATAAATAATTATCATAACAAAAAGAGTTACAAGGAAGGTGTATGGCAACAAAAGATTGACTTACATGCTTCATAGTGTTTTAATCCAAAATTTTAAACAATGAAGTTAAATTTTCCAAACAAAGCTCTTTGGGGTTGTTTAAGCCCATAAAGAGCATTGAAGTTTCAAAACAAAACCAGATTCCCCATAAAGTCAGGCGGTAGTTAAATATAAAATTCTTCTTCTAGTTCCCCTTGAAGAAATGCAATTTTACTGTCCAACAAATGTAGTGGTCAGTGATGAATAGCATTGTGGTGAGAAAAAGGCATTCTGATGCAGTTCTTGACCACAAGAGAATGGTATATCACTATAGTTAAAACCATAGATTTTGGTATTACCCTCTAGCAACTAGTGTAACCTCGAGATGATTACTTCTCCATTTGGAACAACTTTAATAGTATACACCAATTTGTAATCAACATCGATCTTCTCCATAAGAGAACTCCTAGATGATCAAGTACCATTACACTCAAAAGCCTTTCAATTTATCAATCATAACTTTTGATTCTAGATGATGAAGTGCATTACAAACACATTTTTTTTTTAACCATGATAAAAGATAAATGAGAAATGTGGAGGAGAGATATGATGATGGCTTAAAAAAATTTCTAGATGGGATAGGATGAGGATTTAGGGTGTACCTTTTTTAAGAGCATATGGAAAATCAAAATTTGCATGAGGAAGTTCCATAGCAGGTTAGTTGAGTAGGATATGACTAATTGATGCAATGTTAGATTAACAACTCATGCTCAACACTAGTATGCGACAAGATGTCGTTGGATAACTTAGTTTGAACATTGCTTGGAGGAACATCATGAAAACTTGGAGAAGCATCAAGAGGCTTATCAAAACTTGGAGAAGCATCATGAACAAAACATATGAATTCAAAGACACAAGTATCATGTCTGCTTTAAATTTTGTTTTGGAAAAGAGCAACATGCTATACATATCTAAAAGAAAAATTTAAATATGGGATTCGTTGTCTTTTCCTAGAGTCCGATTCCTATTCTTTCTTGTTTGTGTTGAAATAGAAATATTCTAAAAATATCCATAAAATAATATTTTTGAATCCCATCCTGAAAAATCCTATATCTTAGTTTCTAATTTTTCCAACTTAGAATTTTTCTGCCATAACTCTCAATTTTAGGGGAGGAGTTCAACACCTGGAACCTGGAACAAGTTTATGATTTTGACGAATTTGGATGACCAAAACATTCGTGAAAATGCTTTGCTGATGCAACAGTAGCACACAACACAAAAGAAGTTGATTAAAGATAGTCGAGAGCATGGGATTCATATAGTATGTCCATCGTCCAACTCATACCATGTTCCTCTGTAAAAATGATATCCACATCAAATGTTGCTAAGCAATTTGGAAAGTGAGTTAATTGACTAATAGAGATCAGATTAAAAGGATACTTGGGTATGAACAAATTACATCTCAAACTTAAAGAAAAAGGGGGTGCAGTAGGACGAATTCCTTTGGAAACATTCTTAGACCCCAACCGCTGAAGTATTGAAATGATGACATTTTGGAGAACATGTGTAGGAAAATAAAGCACTGTTACTATAAATGTGATTAGAGGCCCTTGAATAAATTCTCCGTGGACTTTGACTATTCTAAAATTAGTGGCAAAAAACAACTAAGATTGCTTACGAGTCTTTAGGCGAAGATATTTTTTATACTCTCTTGCAAAATTTTGCTCAGATTTTTTATACTTAAGAGATTTCTACTATCTTCCAGTGGGAAACCATGAAGAAAGGGAAACACAGACTTGAGTGTGGCAAATTCAACTAACTATTGAATTACCACCTATCTCGAGTGATTAGCACTCTGCATATTTTATAATATATTATTATGTATATTTGTATGCACACGTTTCTGAATTGACTATATGTTATATTTAGAAGAATAAAGACTCGAGCAACTTCCTAGGTACATGAATCCAAAAAGACTAGGTGAACCTAAGCTATAAATGCAGCTATTTCAAATAGATTTCTTGCAGTTTCTGACGAGAAAGATCACGTATCATGATATCATGTATTACAGAATTCAAACAAGATCATGTAAATAGGGTAAGAAATGTTCTAGAAACTTGAATGTTAGAAAAAATCAAACATATGCATATCTTACATATTATCACTGATGTCTTCCAGCAGATTCATAAGTTTCTTGGCTAATTGCTGCCTCCGATACTCTGGAGCAACTGTTACCGCAGTTACATGACCATGCCAAGATTCTCCTTGCCCCTCTACTTTACCCATAACTACATCAATACTACTAGCATTAGCATTCCACTTACTATAATTGTTGTAACTAAATACACGAGCAGTAATAGAAATAACGAATGAAAGCTGTTTCCATTACTGTGTATACAAGGGTAATTGAATAAGAAAGGAAAGAGAGTTAATTTTCGATTGTATTATGCTTCTATCGATCTAGAATGAATCTCGGAATATTTCTGTAATATACGTTCCAAGTATTTGTATTCTTCGAGTGTTTCCTAGAATACGGGTTTTATTCAACTATATGACTTAATGCATAATTAGGCACATTGTTCAGACTAGTAAGATAAACATAAGATACATTGAATTCGCCTGCGCAAAAACAGAAAGCATCTGAATTGTCATTATCGTGTTTTAGAATAACTCCAAAATGTAAAACACATTGTGTCATTCTTGAACCCGTACTTGAATTTAAACCATCAATTCCTGCCACCAATGAGCTATTGAGAACAACGTTCGTTCCCCATTATGCATGATTATTTTGAAATTGAAATCAAGCTTTGGCATATAGTGATTTAGATGAGTAAGAAAACAAAGACTCACTGTAACCCATGATACGATTTCCAGGACCTTCAGCAACGTGGAAATAGTCTGGCCATCTTGCAAGATAGGTCATGTAGAAGGACATGTTGAACTGAAACCAAAAAGCAATTAGGCTAAGGCACCATCAAATTCAGCATCGAATGGAAACGGACCAAAAACGCTTACTGTTTCGGTGAGATGGTCGAGATTGACGGACGCAAAACGAAGAAGATCGTTGCAGCAGAACCTGTGAATAGTCGTCATCTTCAGAAACCCTGTTCTCTCACGGTCGTAGGTTGAGTTGTATCGGTATGTTGGAACTACGTTGTTGGGTTAGATAAGTGGAATAGTAAACTGAAGTTAATGGATCATATTTAATTGAGAGGTGATTACTTCACAACATCTACAACCTATCTCTATCTTTAAATAATAATAATAATAATAATAATTTGAATAATTTATTTAAATGTACCAGAAAAATTATATTTATTACAGTGATGTAATTGAATGAGAGAAAGCAATGAAATATAATAAATTATAACTATTCTGAAACTTAAAAAGTTGAAAGGGAAGTTGATAATTTTATGGCTATAAAATCTTTATTAAAAAAATCATTCATTTTAATTTAATATATTTATTAAAAAATAACAACCTTTAAAAAATTTCAATATATTTAATTTAATTAACGTACATAAATGCCTAAAGATGAAAAAGAAAAATAATTATATAAATTGTAATTATTTTCTGCTTAAATCACAATTGAATATTTTAACATTTTGAATAAAGAAACACGTCACTAAAAAATTGATAAGTTTAACTATGATTTTCACAATAATTAATGAATTCTTATAAAATCGAAAATATAAAAAAAATTCTCACTTTAACAAAATTTATCTGTTATTTCTTTTTTCAATTACAAAATTTTAAGATGTTATTGAAATTTTACTTTATTTATAATAAAAAGAAAAGAAAATTAACAATTACAAATAAACTTAATTTATCTTATTAAACCTAATTAAATATTAAATTAATGATTTTGATTCAAATCTCAACTCAAGGAAAAAAATAACCAATTTAATCTCCTCGGGAATAGAAACATTAGAGTTACGGTGAAGCTTCCATGGCTAGAAAGAACATGATGCTTGTAAAGGATACAAGTTCTCTTATAAAGAAAAAAAACTTTAAAATTGTTTTTGAATTTTATTTGAGTAAGAAATAATGGGTGATTTATTCTGATATTTTTCAAATTTCTTACTTAAATAATTATTACTAAAAACGTTAATTAAAACATAAGAAATATTATGAGAAAGTGGTAATTTTTTTTATGTGAGTTAAAATGAATAATTAATACTAGTTAACTTATACAAGTTATATTAATAAATCTTTTGTTTTTGCCTAGTTAAATTGATTTCATACAAAAGTGTGTGTATATATATATATATATATATATATATGCAAATTATTAATTTTTGTAGGCAATAAACATGAGAGCAACAAATTCTTACTTTTGTATTAAAGAAATCAGCGAGTTACCCACGAGTAATATATTTGTGTAATTTGTTTGTATTACTTATTGAGTATAGTTTTTGGTCTTTATATTTTTATTTATTATTTTTATAAAATTTAATAAATAAAAAATATCTCTTTCGTTTTTCTCATAAAAGATAAATGATGATATAATATCACTTATTTTTGAAAACCAACTAAAAATAGCAATTTATTTAAAATATTAACTGGCCTGTTTCATTTAATTTTATTTTTAGAAAATAATGTTAGACGTAATTAAAAAATATATTTGATAATTTTAATTAAGTATAGTTTACAATGAAAGGAAAAAACGTAATAAAAAGTCAGAAAAAAATTAAAATAATAATTTAATAGTAATAAAATATATTATATGATATAATATAATTATTGATAAAGATGTAATATCATTGATAAAATAAAAAATTAAAAACATAAAATATATTTTCTTAAATTTAAATTTTAAAATTTTAAAACTAAAAATTATTTAAAAATGAAAAATAATTATTAATAAGCTTTATAAATATTTACATTTTTTAAAATTAAAAAAAAGCCAATAAATCAGCCTTAAATGATATATAATCCTAAAAAGTTATAAATTAAAAACATGTTCATTCAATATTTATTTTCTCAAAATTACCATTTTTTTATAACTTTTTTATTTAATTCTTTTTTAACTTTCTCAATCCTCCTCTTACATTTTTCTTGATCGAAACAAATCGTATTGTTCTTAGCTTGTGTTTGTTTCTATATATGTATTGTAATCAATGAAATGAAGGAGTGGTTTTACATAGAAACTCAATTATTTATATATACTGATTTTACCTAATTTGTGAAGAAAGACATGTGGAAATTTTAAGTAAAAGGAAATATCTCTAAACTTGCGAGGAAAAGAGGTGAAATGAAGAAAATAATTGAGGGAATGTCTAGATCCCTCAACTTCTTTTGTCTTTGTTGCATTATGCATGCAAACTATCAAGTTTATTCCACAAACTTGCAAAGAGACTGCATTCGTAATTACTAATAACCTCTTTCAACACACATCTTTCTACACCTCATAGATTCGTTTTTAATTTTTTAGCTACCACTGCAACTCGCATTAATACATAGTAAATACAATTTGCGAACTCTCAATTGTAGACCAGTGTTTTTTGTCATATGCGTTGAATGTAGTTATGATTTTGTTTAGCCTTTGAACGAGCTCATGAAACATTTTCAACTATAAATCCAACAATTGACATGTCTTCTCGTAGTGCATTCCCAGATATAAGAGAGAAAGTTTGGTTGAGATTTACAAGGAATGTGTGATTGAAGGATTCGAGGGAACAAACCATAATAATTTGCATAACTAGTTCTGCTTCGACCTATTTGATACAAGTTCCAATAAGTTTATCAATCACTTTTTTTATAATTGGTTAATGATTTCATTGATTTGAGATGTCAAATTACTTGTTCTATTTGTCTGCATAAGTTTATATGGTGTTGATTTGTTGTTGAATTGTGTGTTAAATTATTGTTTAGATATGTCATTATTATACATAAAAGCAAACATAATTCCTTATAATGCATAATATAATCGATAATGGATGTGCTGATAATCAATTATGTGGTTATTCTTAATCGAATACGATAACCCATATTATTCTCTACTACATTATTATATGTTGATTTTTTTTCGTATATAACAACTTTTTTACATAAATATACATTGATAGCATTATGTATATAATATTTACTGAGATATGACACTTTCAATTAAATGGTTAGAATTCGATTTTTCACGAGTCAAACTCTTCTATGGTTAATAATTTTTTAAAATAAAAATATATTTATTAAATATAAAAATTAAATATATATACATATAAAATAAATATATAAATATTATATATTTATATTTTTTTAAAATTTATTTATATAATTATATCAATATATATAAATATATATTTTTATATAACATAAAAAATATTTATGTAATATATTATTAATATATGTTTATAAATATAGTAAATACAAATACATTCAAAAAAAAATATATATATATATATATATAATATTTAAATATTTATTTATATTTTTAGAAATACAATAAATACATGTATATTTATATCTTTCGATATAACATAATAACATAAATAAATTATATATATTATTTAAGTATATTTTTAATATAAAATAATTTTAGTTAGTAAAAATAATATATCTTATATATAAATATTTTTATTATATTTTATTATATTTTAATATATTTTAATAAATATGGTAAATATTTGTCATATACATTATAACTTTATTAAATAATATATATATATATATATATAAATATTTAATAAATACATTTTTTATATACATAATAACTTTATTAAATTATATATATATATATATAATATTGAAGTATTTATTTAATATAAAATATTTTTAGGAAATACAAATTATAATTTTCTATTTTTTTTCATAAAAATATATAAATATTTGTAGTAAATATAAATACAGTTATTAAATATATATATATATATATATATATATTAAATAAATATACATATTTATATATGTAAAACATTTGTTTATATTTTATATATAATAAATATAAATATATATTTTTATATATAATAAAAATATATTATATAATTATATGTTTAATATATGTGTACATACTTTTTATAAATAAATAAATATATATATATATATATATATATTTATACATTTAATAAATACATATTTATATTTTCTTATATATATCTGATAATATATATTTTATATAATATTTAAGTATTTATTTAATAAAAAAATGTTTAGTAAATAAATATAATATTTATACTAAAAGTAATTTTATTTAATTTTGATAGAATATAAAATAGATTTTGTATAAATATTTTATTAAAATTTTGTATTTATAAAATTTTGAATTAGATAATTTGAGTAAGATATACAATTTGAATTAAAGTGAATTGATATTTTAGATATTTAATCAGTGAAACATAAATAAGTAAGTTAGAAAATTACAAATAAGTAGAATAATTATTTATTGATTGATTGTAATGTCATATTACAAAACTACAATAAATTTATCTATGAGAAGTTGATCCCTTAAGGTTAGGGTTATGCGGACAATGATTTCTTGTGTAGCAATATGAGCATTTATTTTGGTGACCTTCTTTGTGGATATACATTTCAGTCTTTGATTCGTGTTGATTTCGGACTACCCTTGAAACTTCTTCTTTTTCCTAGATTGAGGCAAAGTTGTGGGTCTTGATGTGATGACCAATAATCTTCATGTTTAAGCTTCGCAACACAAATTGTCATACACTTTGTTGACTATATTCAACCTGTAAATATGATTGATGTATATCTCGTAATCATGGTGAGCATGCTGCAACCAAACATGATAGATGAAGTTTTTGAAACTTCTCATAATCACACCAAGTTTCATCTAGTCTAACAATAAAATTACCAATAGTTTGAACTTCTCTTGGGTTAACGATCTCCTTCACCAAGAATCTTGTGTTACTTTTATCGAATTCAAACATCCTATGAGTGTTTGATTTTGTATAAACATCTTGGAAAATCTTTGATGCAACTTCTGAATGGACATGACCAATATTAATCATTGATGTGATTTTCCTCCCTCTTTTTGTAAAAGATGTGTTGCATATTATGTATGTGGTCATGACCATAGAGGAAATTGACAGATTCTTTGTTTTCTTTAGGACTAAATTAATGGATTAAGCTAAGTTGGTTGTTAA